TTGGCAGGGGGTGGTGGGGAGCAAAGGCGTTGAGAGTCTTGTAAATAGCCGTGCATTATGACAGCGCGAAGAGAAGGAGCCCGGCACGTGAGAACTATTAAAGAACCCGGTTAACGCAGTTTGTATCTGTGGTTCGGGTTGGTTGCTAAAAGGGGGGGAGAGGAGACGCACCCACGCAGCCCTAGGGCACGTGGTGGTGTTTTGAAATGATTTCTGGGTTTCTATCCACACCAAAGGACAGCGGAGGTATCATAGGGGTGGAAGTAGGAACAAGGACATGAGCACACACTGCACTTGCAGGCGCGTTCGATCGCCGATACGGCGACCCCCCCCCCCCCCATCTCTTAAAGTAATTATGCTTTTGATACTCTCCTACCGCCCCTCCCTTGACACCCTCCCCCTATGTATCGCCTATTTTACCGCCTTCTTGTTTGGTAGAACCTTGGCCTGGCAGCCGAGCACGGCCTGCACTTCCGATTCCCCGGCGAGCTGAAGATGTCCGGAGGCCACTTGGACACTGGGGGTTCTACAGATACGGAGAGGTGAACGAACTATTTTAGCTATTATAGAGCTTGTGGTTAACAAACTAGAGTTTTTGGCGAACAATTTAGAGCTTGTGAACAGGCAGAGCTTGTGGTGAACAAACTGCATCGAGGGTCTGGTGCACAATTTAGAGCTTGTGGTGAAAATAACTAGAACTTATGGTATGCGTACATACAGCATTTTGTTTTCAAGGCTCTTGTCGGGTCGTGGATGGTGGGCGGTGGAGCGTGGGAGGGGCCAGGAAAGGGGGGAGGATCGAGCACGTCCGCCGCATGTACAAGTATACAGTCGAATCTTCCTGGTAGTAACTGGTGTTGTCTGGAGAATCCGCTGAACTGAGGACGATGTTTCTCGCCGTTCGTGTGATCGGTCTACCGTCGCCGACCAGGGATCCGTCGTTCGTGAAGCGAAAATGGGAGACGCTGGTGGCTCTTCGAGATCAGAGCTGGAAGCAGCTCACGAGGGTAAGCTATCTGCCTTTCGAGGAGGTTGAGGAGAGGGGGGGGGGATTTAAGTGTAACGCCGGAAAGAAAATATGAGATTTCCGGAAGTTCAGTGTACTTATACTTGATGGGAGCGATGGCAGAAGAAGAAGTGGAAGACTAAAGCACGACCAGGGGTTGAGTTCCCGTTACCACGTTACCCGAGAGACTGCATCTGATTGGTCGACCGGTCCATTGAGGGAGCGCAGCACAGCAGCCTTGCACCAGGAATCGAGGGGGCGCAGAGAAGCACCATCATGTAATAGAAAGCAAGCGTTAGCTCCGAGTGGCCCGCCCTTCCCTTTCCCGGTGACAGCAAGAACGACGTTCGAAACGACTATTTTCACTCAAGTGCCTACGTTGCGTTTACCTCCTTGCTGTCCGCTATCCCTTCTCCGCCTCTTCTCTCGCCTTCGCCAGACAATCATGAACTTGTACGCTCAGCGCACGAACGGGACGTACGTGGTGAACAAGGGCTCGGCTCTGCTGTGGCAGTTCAGGGACGCCGACCCTGAGTTTGGCTGGCTACAGTCCAAGGAGCTGGAGGACCACCTGACCACGGTGCTCAAGCCCTTCAGGTGAAGCTTGGACTCGCATGGCACCATGGCGCCCCATTTCTGTGTGTGTGTGTGTGTGTGTGTGTGTGTGTGTGTTTATTGTTAGCATCGACCGCGTTATCTGGCTGACCAATGAAAGACGTCAGTCTTAGTGCGGGTGGTGGTGGGTGTAGTGTGTTTTTGAATTGGCATCGACCGTGCTAATCGGCTGGCCAATGAAATGATCTTCAGTCTTGGCAGCGGGATATGAAACACGAACACTTGCTAATTAAAGGGTTATACCGGACGGGGGGGGGGGGGGGGGGCAGGAGTTGGAAGGCAGTGTGTGTGCGTGTTCCAGGTCTGCTGGCCTGATCTGATGTAAATGTGGATGCGCATCGTTGTTCATTTGTTGCGACCGGCTGGGCACGGGCATCGAGATTCATCGAGCCGAGCAAGCACGAAACAATAAATGTATCATTCCCACAGAATTGACAAGACAAAACAGACACAATGGTGCCTGCATGCCTGCCACACCTGGCGGAAACAGAGTTGCACGCCGGCAGCGTATTTTCCTGGCGTATACGTATACAAATAGACTCGAAACAAGTCCAGTACCCAGCCGGTTTCCCTTCACTCACTGCAAATACTCCAACCCATCCCCGTCGACTGTGGGTATATGTCGAACGGGTAGTCTTTCTCTGGTTGTTTGCATGATTTCTAGACGCAATAATAGCAGCAGCAACAACAATATCCAGCCAGTTTTTCTCCCAATCTCTGCAAAGACTCCAACACATGCCGTTCGACTGTAGGTTATATGTCGAACGGGTAGTATTGCTGTGCTCGTGTTTATTTTTCCTCATTTATCTCCCTCAAGTACTTTTCACGCTTGAGTTGGTCTAGTTGTCACCGATGGTCATGAACATGAAAACTGCTGCCCAACCCAGCCTTACTCACTCTGGCCCTCCTCCTTCTCCTCCCCTGACGCTTCCGATCCTGCTGTCGTTTGTTCTGTGACGGAAATTATGCATACACATGATATTCACATCCACAGCGTGGAGATCCTGCGGGGCACGTCGGATGGGGATGGGGGGTACATCGAGGTCCGCCCCGGGGGGGTGAACAAGGGGGCCTTCGTGTCGGCTATCTTGTCCAGACAGGTATCTAGAGTACTATGTGTTGTAGCACTTCTACTAAGATACTACGATAGCTTGCGGGATACGGTCGTTGCGGACGAAAGTCTACGGGCAGCGAGTGCATGATGGAGTAGGAGTATTGTTGGCGCCTGGGCTGTTTGTCGGGGGGTGGGAAAGGGACCAGGCCCTCAGAGATGACACAGGTATGCTGACGTGGCTGGGGATGACGAGATGGGGGCAGGTTACAGGATACATATGTGCGACGATTTTTGCCTGGGAAGCGAGTGTCTATCGGCGTTACTGCTGCTGCTGCTGCTGCTGCTGCTGCTGCTGCTGCTGCTGCTGTGGATGCTGCTGCTGCTTGTAGTTGTTTTAGCGAGGGTTCGAGAGCTTACTGCCGCCTCGTGCTTTGATGTTTGCCTTGATGAAGTAAAGCTGGCAAGAAACACACAGACATAACCCCCGCTCACGGGAGCCCCAGACGATGGCTTTTGTTTTAGAAACGTTTTCCTATTTTTGCCGAACCGAGACTGACTTCTGCTAATTGGTCAGCCGGTCGACGCTAACATCCCTCTTGGCTGTGGGTTTTTTGCTATGCTTATTTTCTAATAATAGCGAACACGCGCGTGCGCTTGCGCTTGGTCAACCACACACAGGTCGAGATGGACCTTATGCCGGACTTCATCCTGGCCATGGGAGACGAGGAGTCGGACGAGATGATGTACGAGGTGGTGAAAGACTTCAGCAGGGGGGTCAAGGGGGAGGAGCCCGGCACGCCGGACGCGACGGCGACGACCACGCAGGGGGGACCCACTTCCCCGGGGCGGCGGGGCTCCTATCAGGTACATATCCGGTTTTGATATTGCTTCGCCCCTTCAGTGTTGATATCGCGGTGCCCCTTCGCTTGTGGTTGCTCCTTGCGGTGTGGTGTTGGGGGAGCGGGGTTGGCTTTGGATTGTGTCCGCCCGGAAATCTGGGGATTGTTGTGCATGGTGTACGTCCTTGTGAAGGAGGTGTTTGGTTGGTGATGGTGCTGTTGTTGTCCCGGCGCTCGCTGTCGTTGTTCAAGCAAGCGAGGTATGGCCGATACCCCCCCCCCCCCCCCCCCCCCCCCCCCCCCCCCCC